AAAAGAGAAACTTTCCGTAATATAAAAAATAAAAATAAAATCGTAATTTTTAGCTAGCGATGTTGTTACAATATATCAACAGTTACATTTTATAAATAACGAAAATTTGTAGCAACAATGTGACTATAGCCACCTATCACTATAGCAATTACTATATCAACATACATATCGCAAGTTTTAAAATTTTATGCGATTTTAAAACATGTCGAAGCTATATATCATAGGTTTATAGCTTGCTAAAGCAAACAACAAATCTTTAGATTATCAATATCGATAGCTATAAAGCTGTGGTGTGTATACAAACCACAGCTTTTTAGCTAGCGATATTGATAACTATAACATAATGTCAAGTCTGTACATATCGTTGTTAACATGGTTGGTTGTTTTAAATAAAACTACTTAAATAAAAACGTTAGAAAAAGATACAGCCTCAAGAAAATGATTAATGTTTGCCGGGTATAATAAAAAACTATCAGATAACTATCCTTCAATTTCAGGTGTTGTGTAAAAAAAGATTTCTAAACTTTTTAATATCTGGTTACTTAATTGCACATTCTAACACCCGGCGCAGTATCTAACCGCTGTCTTTATGCCATCTTTTTAACTCAACTTCTTCTAACTTTCTCTCTATTACCCTTTGTTCTACTTAAAATCACTTAATCTTGGTCTGCAAAGCAGGTTATGACGCTCTTTAGTAAACCAATTTGTCTTTGCAGGCCTTAGGATGTGGTCTCTATATGGCAACTAGCTGGAGGAGGATAAACCACTATACCAAAAAGTTTTTAAAGCATTAGTTTCAAAACAAATTAACATTCCAAAACTCATGAAATATGACTTGGTAGAAATAGATTATAATAAAAATATAAATTATCTTTTAAAGGCAGAAAAATAGTAATAAAAATAATTCCACAGATATTAAACGTAGATTTCATTGTATTTTTGTCAACACAAAACAGGTTACACCGGTTATAGCCTAAAACTGATAACTTTTTACGAAACGGTAAGCTTTTAAGGTTGAATAAAGAATTCACACAAAGAGTATTAAAAAAAAAGGAGGGGGGAGCTCGATTGATAAATCTTAGTAATAGACTTAAAGCAAATTAAATGCAATGTGTTTACAAAGTTCATAATAATAATCTAAGAGGAACTTGAAAAGAAGCAATGCTTCTTATATATAATTCTAGTAGAATATTTAAACCAAAATTAACAAACTTTTTGCAACAAATCCAACTCAGCTAACTGAGCTTCCGTCATTTTAAAATAAAAAATTTGCATATTGTTTCAATTTAATAATATTATAAAACCTTATTCCATATAAAACATTATTCCATATAAAACATTATTCCATATAAAACATTATTCCATATAAAACATTATTCCATATAAAACATTATTCCATATAAAACATTATTCTATATAAAACATTATTCCATATAAAACATTATTCTATATAAAACATTATTCTATATAAAACGTTATTCCATATAAAACATTTTTCCATATAAAACATATATAAGAGTAGCCTAAGATTTTCGTTTAATTTAAATTTGAATATAATTAAATTCAAATAGATTGTTTTCGGACCTAAAAAATCCGTAAAACTATAACTAGGGAGCAGCGTAATGCTATAATTAGGGAGCAGCGATGTAAAAATTCCGTAAAAACGTAAAGACGTAAAAATTCTGTAAAAACGTAAAGACGTAAAAATTCCATAATGCTATAATAAGGGAGCAGCGATGTATCGTTTAACAATGCGTCGATTAATCGTGGTCGATGTATCGAACTACTCATCGTGTTCGATACATCGAACGCGATGAGTTTTTCAAAGCATTGAACGCGGTTAATCGAACAAAAATGTACCTGAACAATTAACGATGTGTTATATAAAAAATAATATTTAAAACGGTAAAATTACTTACATTAGTGGTTTCTTGATTTACAATTATGTTCCTTACAATGCCGAGAAAAAGGTAAATAAATTATCTATTTTTTTAAATTTTTTTTTTAGTTTATATATATTTGCTCTTTATATAATAAAAAATATAACTACAAAGAAACATTTACATACAAAAAAAAGTTGATTTATAAAAACAGTCAAAGAATATAATAATTATCGAAGCATCAAAAATTCTAGATGTTACAATTAAAAACTAGTTAATATATATATATATATATATATATATATATATATATATATATATATATATATATATATATATATATATATATATATATATATATATATATATATATATATATATATATATATATATATATATTTATATATACATATATATACATACTAGTTATATATATATATATATATATATATATATATATATATATATATATATATATATATATATATATATATATATATATATATATATATATATTAGAAAATATATATATATATATATATATATATATATATATATATATATATATATATATATATATATATATATATATATATATATATATATAATTTAGAAAATAAATAAATTTAGATAATTTAGAAAATAAATGTTTCTCTCTCCTTTAAAATTTCATAAAACTACGTCAACTGGCGTTTTTAGTTTTTATATTAGCTGATTATTAATATCTACTAGTTAATATCGCTATATATTTATATGGTTAATATCATATTCAGAACCAAAATATTCAAACATTTATATATATATATATATATATATATATATATATATATATATATATATATATATATATATATATATATATATATATATATATATATATATATATATAAAAGTTCTTAAATTGTTTTTCGCATTGCATTAATCAAAAATGACAAATAGTGCGGTTAATGGCATGTGGAAAGTTTACTCTTAGCAAACAAACAGCTATGGTAAAATCATTAAAAAATTATGTGGTTCATGTGATGATTTAATTAATGAATATAATGGGCTACCCATTGGAACGTCGATTTTCAAAATATAGGTAAATATAGGTAAACATGAGTAAAAGTTGTTTTCTTGTTGATTTACGTGAAGTTGTTTTCTTGTTGATTTAAGTGAAGTTGAGTCTTCAGAAAATTTACTTTAATTTAAATATTCAATGAATCCCCATATAACTTACTGGGACTTGAGTCTTAAAGAGTCCAGTCAAGAGGTTTTCAAGAGATTGAATTTGACAAGGTGTTGGCAACCTACATCGAAAAATTTGTTTAAAAAAAAAATTCTCTCAAAATTTTATTTGTGTCAAATGTGAAGCTTTATTAAATCATGAGAAAATATTAGCATTAAGTATACAAGTTTGCTCTCTAGAGGGGATTTTGGTAACCGAAAAAATCTTTAGCATCATTTTTAGCCAAATTTAGCTTAGCTTTGCTAAATAGATTTAGCTAAAGAACTTATTTAAATGATGATAGTATCAGATATGCTGCCAAAAAGCATTTTAATAGTGCTATAAAAAATTACTAATAATACAAAGCGTATGCTTCATCAATAAGCAAATGGCTATCAATGTTGAAAAAAGAAAAGACAATATTGTTGCTTTATATTCTAAAAAAACCAAAAGAAAGCGTTACTTTAAGCAATTTGTTGTTGTTATTTTCACAATTTGTAAAACTTTTTGATTTTCACAATTTATAAAACTTTTTGATTTTATGAACTTTTATATTGCTTTTAAGTAAAAAATCTTTTTAAACAAAAAATGTTTAGACATAATCTATTACATTTATTTATTTTAATAAATTCTTTTTCTATTATTTTAGCATTTTCTGTAAAAATAACAACAAATTTATTTAAAAAACCTTTTGTCTTATTTGGCTTTTGTCTTTTTTTGTGAGGTTGTTGTAATGTACTTTTGTAAATTTTAAATGTACTATATTTTAGCATAACAAATAATTTAAGTTGTTTATTTCTTGTGAAATAAATAATTTAAGTTGTTTATTTCTTGTGAAACAAATAATTTAAGTTGTTTATTTCTTGTGAAATAAATAGTATAAGTTGTTTATTTCTTGTGAAAACAATCAACAATCAATTGGTAATCATTGGTGGAAAATGATTGGTTGGTATCAGCAACAATTAAAAAAAAAAAAAAAAAAAAAAATTGGCCTTGAATCTCAAAAAGAATTTCCTTTGGTAAGAGCATAAATTATTGATTTAACAAATTCCAAAAAGTATGAGCTTGCATTTTTTTTTAATGTTAGAATTCTTGACGATGTTTAACGTACTCAAATAAAAGAGGGTCTATTTTCTAACAAGAAAAACATTTAAAATTAATCATCAATATGTTGATTTGAACAAGAATAAGCTAAAACACGTTAAGATAAAATAGAATAATATCTAAAATGAGCTCAAGACGTTTTTTTCCAGTATTCAGGTTTCTCTTGCGCGACTTGAGATTCAGGGTATTGTGGCCTTCATTAGCCAGCAAGACAGTTTAAAAGAAAAGGATGTAATAGATAAAACTTTTTATTAAAACCATTTAAATTCTTTTTTTTTGAAGTTTAATGCCAAGCCAGGCCAGGCCAGACCTCTTAACTTCCACTGTCTAAAGTCTGCCTTAAAAAAATATTATTCAGTGGGCACAGACGTTTATGAGACGTCTATACAACGTCTTATGGACGTCACAAATCCATTAGACATTTTTAATACGTCCAGTGGACTTTCTGTGTCCACTGGGTTATAACTTCGTGCATCCATTGTAAAGTATTGATTAACGTGCAATAATGTTATTATAATATACATGGTTTACTAAATGTTGTAAATGAGTAAGAAGATGATTAGGACAGGGTATTATTTTGGGGCAAAAAATAAAAAAATAAAAATACAGTAAAAAATAAGTAAATTTTTATCCAAAACTTGATTTAAAAAACTGTAGCTAAATATCAAAGATAATTAACTATAGTTGCATACTTCGAAGAATCAGAATTTAAATGTTTATTATTTGTTTTAAAGTTTTATGTTGTGAAATCAAAACAACCAAAATTTCATTAAAAATTAAATATATAGAAGTTAATAAATAAGAATAAATTACAAAAATGGCCATTTAATCCCATTTAAAGGTTTTTTTTAGTAGTTTTTACATTCTCTTGGAGTAACTTGACTTATGTTATCTAATATTATATGCGATAGAACTAGAACGAAAGGTTTCAACTGTCATGTTAGACAAAACAATAGAACTGTTTCTTCTCCTAGAAATAGTGTTTAATTTGTTTTTGAAATACCAACGACCTTTTGGAGATAACAAAATATAAATAATAGCATCAGTTAAAATAGAAATTGAGTTACACAAAAAAGAATACCAAGCAAAGTTGTAATTTAACTCAATTTTATCGTTCAATATCGAAATAATATCGGGTATTGTAACTGTTACTATGAACGTTAATAAAATGCAAACAGACAAATACACACCTTTTGTTATGCCGTTATCGTTTCCTTTTAAATGAAGTTGTCTTTGTTTTTTAATAACTATCAACGCATAAGAGTAAACATAGAAGGATACTACAATAATGATTGTATCAAGTGTTATATAAATTAAATTGCATATATATGCGAGATTTTCTCTCAAGTATATTCTCATTAAACATCCGATTGTTAACGCTAAAATCCATATGACCAACATTGTCAACAAAGTTTTTTTGTGCGACCAGTAACATGCGTATTTAATGATCATTTTTATGTGTAAATATCTATCTAATACAAGCCACAGAGTTGCTAAGTAATTGCCAATAACAAAGCTTGCAATTAGTGCGTCTTCTATTACATAAGCAATATTTGGCAAATACCCTTCTTCTTTTATATAAAGAACAACATCGTCAGTTCGATGAAAAATGATAGAATTATTCTTTTTTTTACTTTCACGAGCAGCTACTTCTAGGTTTTCGTTTTCGTCTTTGACATTTTCATTCTTGTTAACAGGTTGAATCATTTCTATAGAGTTAGTGACTGTATAAGTAATACTTAAACAAAGGCTAAAAAAACAAAGGTAACTAATTATCCAACGCTGCGTTTTGTCTGTACGAGAGTTTTTTAATTTAGCGAGTAGAAGCAAACTTGTTCCGTTCAATAAAATTCCCGTTATTCCAAAACTTATCACAGTTAAGAGTATCTTTCCATAAACAGCCATTTTTCTAAATAAAATGTGTAAACGCTTTATATTGTAAGCAATGACAATAAATATTTGAACATTTTTAAACAAAACAAATACAAAGCACCAAATATTATAATAATCCAATGGGTACAATGCGTAAAAAAAGACGTTTTATTAAATATTACAAAATAACATGTCGAGAAAATATACCATATAAAAATCCGAAACTAATAAACAAAAAACGTTTGATAAATAAAGAATCAAAACCAGAGCTGTGGAGTCGGGGTTGCGGAGTTGCAACATTTTTAGCGGAGTCGGAATCGCTAAGCTATATTGCGACTCCGACTCCAATAGTAAAGCTTCTCGGTATTGCACGTGCATGTACAAAACATTTAATTAACGTTATGTTCATACTAATATTCCATGAAAGTTTCATAAGTTTGTTAAAAAAACATTTTTTTAACTTATCGCGTAATATTTTTTAAAGAATTCAAAGAATTTTTCAAATATTTTCCTTTGGAGTCGGAGTCGTAGTTGAAGTCAGAGTCGGAGATGGTGTTGTGCTCAAACAATTTCAATAACTAGAGTCGGAGTCGGAGTTGTACTCAAAAAGTTTTAACAACTGGAGGCGGATCCTTACTTTTTTTTACGACTCCACACCCCTGATTAAAACTTTTAAATCAAAAAACAAATTATGGTTGTTATCTAAAAGTTCGAACGATAAAGATGTTAATACGAAGTACAATGCTGCAAGGCGTAATGTTACGAAAAAAATTTCATAGCTGCAGTGCAAAACACAATACAGCAAAAAATACCAAAATGAACGAAAAACCTTTTTTTGAAAAATGCAGTCATTTAAAAGCATCTAATTACCATCCAGTTTTTTCAACATCAGCTCTTTATAAGACTCATTGCAAGAATTATCAGTAAACGAATAGTGAACCATTTAATTAAAAATAATTTATTAACTCATAAGTAACATGGTTTTTTTAAAAGCAAAATCCGCAACACAAACTAATTAGAATAAATGGGTATTGTTATGGCATCAGTTGCAAAATGAATACAAATTGTCATTTTATGCATTAGTTATGCTAAAGTTTTTGATACTGAACATGAAAGCTCATCTACTAAAGTTTGTGGTATAAAATTGAGTTCGTTAAATTAGATCAGATCTTTATATACAGAGTTATATAAGGTAATGTTAATTTATTATTGCTAGAAGTCACAAATGGTGTCCCAGAAGGATCTGTTCTTGGTCCACTATTGTTTAATCTTTACATAAATGGTTTGTGTTCTTTATTTAAAAATCTGTGCATATGAAACAAATGTAAAAATAATACCTACTTGTAAACAAATGTTGCATATTGTATAAATAGATTTAAAAAATATACTAAACAAATGTTGTATTTATGCAATGTATCTGAGACATTATATGTGTGCAAAAAAATACCAGAAACAAAAAATTCTTTAAAAGTTGTTTAATAACAGTGCAGGCGGTGAGATCTGTTGCAAGGACACGCCCCTGACGAGTGGCGTTAGTGCGGGTCTCGAGCTCTCCGAAACTTCATTGGTGATCGCAGTGCATTCCTGATGAGGGGGATCACCATTTATCCACTACTTAATTCTAATTGGTTATTATAGCACCAACATTTTTTTACCTCTTACACCCATGTATTTTTGCGCTTTTTATTATGAATTTGTTACATTAACGACATTTATTTTTATGTTACACAGGTGATTACTTTTATGTTACACAGGTGATTATCAGTTCTCAATTTTTTATCTAGAGTTTAGAACATATATAGTACCACATTTATTAGACATTTGTATGGTACGATTATTTTAGTTATGAATACCGTTAATAAATCAGCGGATTTTTATTGACTTGTTTGCTCATAGATCATTGTTTTATCATTTGCTTAAAGATGGCTAGAGTGTGAGTTTTGGTTCCTCTTTTTCTGAGTTGCTAACTTTTACTCCTCCTACTAAATAGTCTTTACATTAATTTATGTTTTTTTACCTAATTGACATCAACTTCAATCTGTTTTTATTTTCACATCTTCCAGGTCTACGTAACTGGACGGCTCCGTTGGTCACTTTTAACGATCATTGTGTCGCATAAGCAAAAAAAATTATTCTTTGTGGCTGGTGAGCTCCGACTTTTTCCAATGTACACCACAACGGCAAAACGGACATTAGGCTATCCCGCTGGATGTGGTTACGGCGTTCAATAACCTAATGACTTCGCTGACACTCACGTCCATGTTCAGTCGGAAGCTCCACAATGCACGTCGGATCGCTGATTATGTGCTCGGATCTGAAATCTCACTTTGTAGCACATCATTCCACACCAGCACGGGGCAGTAGCTCTTTTGGCTAAGAGTTATGGCTTGTGGCCTACGGTGACTAATGTGTGCATTCGATCAATTGAAATCCATTCTGTAGGTCTCACGTCTGGCTCTGATGTGCTAACCCATAAGCGCAAGAAGTGAGCGTTTAGCTTTCTATTGACCCGATTTGAAAGTGAACGGAAACATAACGAGACCATACTAGACGATAAACGGTACGTACTAATGCACTGCACCACCACACCTGTAGACATCAACAGTCTTCAAAATCAGTATATCAAATATTTGTTCTTTGTTACATATGATCTACACACAGAGTGATTAGAGTGTTAGTTGGTTCTCTCCCTGCCTCCCGAGAATTTAACTTCGTTCTTTACCTTCACAAAAGTCTTATCACTCATTTTATATTTTCTTATGATTTTTATTTTTTATTCAATGTCACCATCTTCTAACTTTTTTTATTATCACATCTCTCAGGTCTACAAAACTGGACGGTCACTTTTGCTATCATTGTGTCGCATAAACAAAAAATTCTTTAAAAGTTGTTTAATAACTTAATTAATTAAGTTATGAAAAGGCGTTTTTATGTTTGTTTATTTTGTTGTGTTTGATTCAAAATGGAAAAGAAGTTAAACGGTGTTCAACTCACTTGCCAAATCTTTCTGAAAATCACAAACGTGATAAACCGGAAAAACAAGCAAAACGCTAGTTTTGAGGTGAAGAAGACTTATAAACCACAACTTTTGAAAAATGGTTTGACAAGAAAACCAACACAAAAAAAGGAATATAATAATGATGGTATAAACCTCAAATTAAAATATCCTAAATATAAAAAAAGAAATTAAACTTGCTTTGGAGTCACGTCCGCAGTATTGCACACCGTTATCTCATGTTATAAAGCTCAATACAAAAATTGTAAAACAACCTCTGAATCTTACATTGATAGAGCTCCAGTTACTAAGAGTATAAACCTCTTCACCAGAGTTTTTCAAGAAAAGCTCTTAAATAGTAAATAAAAGTTTGGAAAATTTAAAGCTTCGCGGGTGCAAGATGTTGTCCGGAAAAAGCAACAAAAAGATGTCTTGCGTCCAAATATAGTGGAAAATTTGGAAAAGTGGAAAATATTGGGGTCTAATTAATCATGAAAATATTGTTGATATGCTGGCTATCGGAGTCATAAACTTAAAAGCATTGATAAAGAAAAAATGAAAAAATAGAAATAAAATAGCAAATAAATAACTATACAAATAAACTTATAAAAAAGTTACAATAAACAACAGTAACTTTATTTTTATGATGGTAATTTCAAAAACTAAAACAAAAAGTGGTAATAATAAACACTTGCAGTGTGGGTGTGTAATAATTCGAATCCATTTCAGTAATTAAAGTTAATTAAAAAAGATAGAAAAGTTATATGATGTTTTTGTTGTTTAGGTAACAACCATATTGCAAATGAATGCATAAAACGGAACAAAAAGATGAAAAATTTCTTTTCACCAAGTTTTCAGGCGAATCTTAAGTTGTAGTTTGAAGATTTTGTCTATCATTTTAAATGAACTGCTAAAATGCTTGTACCCAAACCTGTTTAGTGATGTAGTAAAAGATTTTAAATTACAAAATGTAAGAAATTAAAATGTAATATTATCAATAGCATGTTGCATTTTATTTCGAAAATTTTGAACTTATTTGAATTTTATTTCGTAAGATTTATTGTTAATTAATAAAAAAAGCATTAACAGTTGACTCAGCAATGAGTAACTTGCAAGTAGTGAATTTAATTAAATATAAAAATCACTTGAATTATCAAAGAACTAAACAATTTTTGAGATTTTTCCAACAATTAATTTTGAATATTCTTAGTGGACTAAACAAACGCATTACTTTACTTATTGTAAAAAGAAGTTAAAGGGCTTCCAGAGCGCCCTGCGGTTTTGACCGTCCAGTTTCGTAGACGCCGTAGTATATACTATATATAATATATATATATATATATATATATATATATATATATATATATATATATATATATATATATATATATATATATATTATATATAGTATATACTACGGCGTCTCCTGTTGATTAAACCTCCTTGATTATAATATATAACGTAAACATTCAAAACAATTTTGAAATGAAGGTTCAGGTAACTTAGAAATATTTCAGAATTTATTTCATTTTGTTAGAAAATTTGAAAGTATAGAATAATAGTTGGCACTAGCGACAGATACCATTGATTTTGATGACAGATACCATTGATAACAGATACCATTGAGATAACCAAACAATCAGAAATCTTAACATCAGGCGTCCAGTAAAAGTTCTCATTAAAAATATTTTGTTTTTAACTTGTTTAAAAAAGATTAAAAAGTGACCCATTTTCTTATAAATCAGATGTCAACATATATATTTAAAAGAAAAAGACCTGGTAAAATTCCAAAACATTTGAAGAAAGATTACTTAATTTAGGAATAAAAAAGGTCATTTCTGCGGAGATCAACTTTAAAATGATGATTGTTAATAAAAATAAAAAAAACATGTTTACAAAAGAATAACCTTGTGTCAACAAAAAAATACGCTTATGTCCACAAAAGAATACGCGTATTTCTACAAAAAAAAATAAGCTTCCCAGCAAACATTCTATAGTTAAAATTTAGCGGACTTATATAAGCATTTCATGTAACAGCCATT